GGTGATAGAAAAAATAGCAATGAATTACAATGAAGTTACATTCTCTTGCAAATAGCTATTCACTATTCTTTTACACTGTAAGTCATTACTGAACCGATGTATTGAATGGTGGTCACTTAATTACTGTGTTCAATAAATTGGTGCACATTAGTCGACAATTTTGATTTCATAAACATAAAAAATAAATTACTTCTATCGAGTAATTGTTGAGTAAATTGCCCATCTGTTTTATCTAAATGAAACGTAGTTGAAAGAACCTCAAGAAATGAAATGTGCCTTGATTAAGTTGTTCAAGTAACCAACAACGATAAGTGAGAAAATTCTGACTGTTTTTCACAATTTTAGAATTTTTTGACTACACAGTAGTTTCCAATGTCCTAACTGATGAAACTCATGATATCAATATTATTGTTAACAATATCTACAGCTTAAGACCACCTTTGATTGATAGATTTCTTTCAATGCTTCCTTATCTTTAATTCTCAACAATTTTCACCTTAAATACTGATGCTTTATTAAAAGGCTGTATTCACCACTGACTGAGATCAATCAGATAATGATTTAAATCAAAAAGGGACTTTACAATTGTCTACTACTAATCTAAGACGTTAATAGTACTATCAAGCAAAATGTAAGTGGTTAAGCCAAAAACATCCAGGTGTAGTGGAGAGTATATATGTATATTCATTGACATCATACATAGAGTTTCGATATTATTCTGTTTTATGAAACCGGATGCTATGGCGATCACATTTAACCGTTTACCATAGTTAATCAATTTAGCGTTAAACCTGTAAATCGATTTTAATTTGACTATATTACATTTTCATTTCTATTTGGTTTTATTGACACAATCTTTATCATTGTTTTTAACTGCTTGACATACATCATTGATTAAGTTTCATTAAATACACTCTTAAATGTCATATTTGTCATTACTTTATAAATGAATGTATTTTGTCAATCCACATAAAGAGTAATGATGAACTATCCAGGGTGATTTTGGTATACAAGCTGTTTAATAAGTTATGAAAGCAATGACATCTCCCTTAGAAACAATCTTGTTTTCTACCGATTCACCATTTTGTTTGTTTAATATTTTTTGTAGCAAATTGAGCTAACTGTCATTTAACTGCCAACTTTGTTTACCAACATATATTGTAATTCTTATCAAGTTGCTTCAATAATCTAATGTTTTTATTGTCATCTCATTTTGTAATTCATTAGCTCAAAAAATGTAAAAATGGTAAGAAACAATTAAGTTGACAATGGAGAAATCGATTACCAATATATTTTTATCCAATACACAATGACTTTCTAGTCGTATCCTAGAAAGGAGTTCTACTTGAAAGTTAATTTATGCATGATAAACTTTACTATTTATTGGTTTATGAATAATCCTAACAATTTGGAAAATACTGGAAGTATGCTAACAGAAATATGTAATCATCCAATCAGTATGTGACTCATAACCCGTTATTTTCCTGAAACTTCCTAGGATGTTCTTATTAGGTGATGATTGTATAGAATTATTTCCAGATTTTCCCGACTCTCTATGATTTTATCCAGTATTACTGAAGGCGTAGATTCAAAAATTATAAATACTGCAGATTTATATTTATTGTGTAGGAAGTCATTTAGCCATCAAGTTATGATTGTTAAAATACATTTTAATATATTCCTGGTTTAGTTTAATCCTTCATTATTCAATTCAATGAGATATTCAGGTTTGAGAAGTCTCAAGTGTATTCATTATTTGTAGTTAGGATCATACATAGGAATTAGTTAAAAAATGAAGTTAATTAATTGATTATTTTAAGTGTTAACCCTTTATATCAACTGATTAGTGAAATTGGACCTGGATTTCGGTAAGATAGATTTCATGAAAAACTGATAAATAAAATAAAATTGACTCAACTCATTTAAGAATATAACCTCAAATGTTTAATAAATTGGTCAGAATTAGATCATTATCCATCTGAATTTATCTCCAGTGGAACTTGTGAATTCCAGTGTACTTATTATAGTATATATGTTGAAAGAATGACTGAGAAAAAGATTTCTAAAATGACTGATTAACATCCAACATAGTTTTGACGATGATTTTCAGAGTTTATTGTAATAAAGCATTTTGATTCGACTAATGTATACAACAGAAAAGCATATGAAAACTTTTATTGACATGCTGTAAAAAGTTGTAATCAAGTCACTAAATTTTTATCTAGTTTAATTATTTTCAATCATTCATTGACTATACATATTATCAGTTTGTAGTTGTGAAGATTGTTAAGTTTTTGATTGCCATCATGAATCGATCGATGTCAAAGCACCATTGAAAATCTGGAAGCACTGGACGGTCATTTCGTCTTCGTTTGAGACTACCCAGCAGTACGCATCCACGATCCTACACACGGGATTTGAACCCAGAACACTCGGTATCATGTCGAATATCTTCATATATCTTTCTCTGCCTTAGACGTTTTTTTACTCGACTTTAAATATTCATTTCAACTTCATAAACTAAGTGATAATATCAGATAATTGTTTCTAATCATTCTGATTGTTTTCAAGTTAATACTACTTATAACTAATGAGAAGTTTTAAAATAGAATAAATTTATGTCTATTCTTTAAATATTATTAACATTTACGCTGTTTAGAATTGTACAAAGTGCTTCCAGGTTTTCTATGGTGGTCTAGCCTCAATTAGCTCATGATTTCAACTTTGAAAAATGTACAAAGTTTATTATTAGGATGTGTAATAAACATTCTGTTTTTTCCGATCAAATAACTACCAATTGAAAGTTATTTTAGCTGAGTTATATCCCGTGGAGATTTATGAATGGTAACTTTGAGAACTATTCATGGACCAATATGATATGTATATTTCCTATTGTATGATTGCTAAGTAAATAAACTTTTCATATTCGTGTTTCTATTATTATGAACTTTATTTTGACCCATAGACTATTACTTTACGATTCACCATTCTTGAGTTATCCCTAGTCTATTGATTACTGTTCCCCCTATTCATTCATATATTATCCGCTTCTTTATATTCAGTTGTCTAGTAACAAAAATATAGACAGATATAGTTTGTTTTTTTTCAAAGAAAAGTAATAATAACAACTATAGTGTGATGTCTAACAGTAGCTATTAAAGTTCAAAGTTATAACTATTTTCTATGAAACAACTAAATTTCTGACGTTTCGTGATTCAGTGTAACCCATTTCTTCAGAGAATAAAGTGGCTTACAATGAATAACGAAACGTCAGAAAATCTCATTTTTCTACTCATTGGGATATTACAAATGCTCAATTTATTCAAAATTGTCAAATCAAAACCTGATAATGATACCTACAACTAAATTTCTGTGTATTGGTCAATTATAAAATTTTCTGTAAACAATAACAATTCACACTTTGTCTATTGCATTGAATATACAATAAAATTTATAAAGAATTAAATTGGATAATACAATAATTTATCATTAATTATTATTTAAATCATGAACTGATCAATGTTAGACCGTCATTAAAATCTGGAGGCACTAGACGGCCGTTTCGTCCTAGTATGAGGCTCCTCAACAGTGCGCATTCACGATCCAACTCATGGAATTCTAAACCATGACTTACGATCTCACGGGAGCGTTTAACTTCTAGGTCGCTTGGCCAGCAACCAATGGTGTTAATGTCCAACTTCAACCAACCTATGGATATACAAAAAACATAGTTGTTCATAATAAACTATCGTAAATCCGACATTTTGTGAATAAAACGTTTTGTAGATGTTAGGAATAACTTTGATGTTTGTTTGTTATTTGTGGTGCATTCACTCAGTTATGCAAAAGTAACCAGATACTTAAATTCTTTAGATTTACTGATATTTAATATTTACAGATCAATTTAGGTAGCCAAAAACACTAATCACAAAAAAAAAACAATTTAAACCATTTAAACTCTGCTATGGAAGTTAGAGGATCTTCATTTGGGAGAATTATGACGCCTCATAGTGAAAGACTATATTCTTCAGGAGTAACGAAACCGATACCCCTTCTAATAGCCAGAACAACAATAAATATAGGTAAATGTAATACCCGGACAATATGAGAGGCTTGATGACCGGTTAAATAGCTGCTTGGCTGAAGAGATACAACTTGGCGGCTCTCGAAATAAATGAAACCTGTTGAACGCAACTTACCCCGATGGAGCATAGGCCGCCGACCAGCATCCTCCAACCCACTATGTCCTGAACATTGAACGCAAGCTGCATACGAAAGTTTAGATTTGGGAGAGATATTGCTGTATTCTGACAATGAAGAAGAAAATGTTACTCAGACACAAAGAGTTTCACTGAGGATGTTAAAAGAAGAACGAAAAGCATTTATAGGATAGCAATCTCATAGGTCCAGAATTATCAAAGCAAAAACAAGGAAAGAAGGAATCACAATAAGTGATGTCCAGGAATTACACTACCATCAGTACCAGGAAAAAGTTTTTAACAGTGTTGCTGTACAGGGTGAAAGATTCAATAGACGTCCAGCTTCGTGATCGACAAGCCTGATTTGGTAAGGATCAGTCTTGCACAGACCGAATTGCAGCACTACGGATCATCTCTAAACAATCAGTTGAGTGGAACACGTCACTATACATCAACTTCATTGACTATGAGAAAGCGTTTGACACAGTGGATAGAAGGAGCTTATGGAACCTATTTTAACACTATGATGCACCTGAGAATATCGTCAGTATCACCCGGAATTCATACGATGGGCTACACTACAGTACAAAGTCGTGCATGGAGGACAGCTGACATGTGCATTTACAAGTGAGGGTCGGAGTCAGACAAGGCTTCCTATTCTCACCCTTTTCCTTTCTACTGGTGCTCATCGGGTTATTAAAACGTCTGCATTTCAAAGGGAAGCATAGAATACAATGGACAGGTTGGATGCAACTAGACGATCTGGACTATGCACATGACATGACCCTCCTATCCCATACACACGAACAAATACAGATGAAGACATCTAGTGCAGCAGCACCCTCTCCATCAATAGAACTCAACACACACAAGGGAAACCTGAAATTTATCATGAGGAAATTACATAACAGTTTAGTATACAATCTAAACCGTAGAACGTGCTTAACGTAAATAATTTAGATTTACAGAAACGGAGGATAAAGCTTAATGCCTAGTCTTAATCAGTAAATACAAACTACTTATACCAAACATCCCACATCGTTTTAAAAGAAGAGAATTAGTTCATAGGAATAATCACAAACTTTACACCATTATTATATATATTTATGATTCGAAATAAAATAATATTTTCGTTAGTGAAAAGCATCAAATACACACACACACAAATACGTGTTTGCATACAGATTTGTATACATACGAATATGGAAATAGGTGTGTTGCACTGTTCGACTATTATATACCACACACTTTATATTATCTTTATATATAGTATTATTTAGTGTGCTGTTTCAATGATGCACTGTGTATAGTAGTGAAACAATATTGTACATTTTTGTTTTAAAAGTATTTGCATTTGTAAAATAAATATCTAATATTGATTACACTGATTTAATCTCAGTAATAAAATGAAAATGGATTAGGGAAAGTAATTTCATTGATGTGTAAACCTCTTATTGACGTATTATTTATGGTTAAATGTGTTTTTGTATTTGTATACTAGTGCCAGTAATCATATCAACCGGTGCATATACACATATATATCAATATCGTTCTAATCACAATATGAAAAAAGTCTATACATATATCCACATGTTTTACACCCAAAATAGTTCTTTTTATCTATCATCACTAGTCGATGATTGTAAATAGAATATATGAATAGGTAAATAATAATACAGCACAAAAAGATCAATAAAAACAATAAATCACAGCAGACTGGAAATACAGGCATACAAATATAAGAAAAGAAAATTTCGAAACTAATTTAGGAAAGATGTTAACAATAATAATTGGAGAACTTCATTTCTAGATTGTGGAGAAGATTTATAGCTCAGGTGGATGATGCCGATGGAGTTTTGTTCTATGAGCTCAGAGAACAAAACTCCATCAAAATTCATTTCGAAAATAATGAGTACATATAAAGAGAAAAAAAATAGAGAAATAAAAAAAGATGAAAGAATTCGAAAACATTCCGATTTTATAAACATTTAAGGAAGTAGCAAACAGCGAAAAAGAAAATCCGAACGATAAGTGAAAAGCGTCTCAGAAGAGAGAATATTCAACTTGTGAAAATATAGTCGTACAATTGGCTAGAACAAACAGATAGTAAACAAAAAACTGTTTGCATGTAGTCAATTTCTTGAATTGTCCAAAACAAAAAGAAAAAGAAAAGAAATCTCTGAAGATCTCGAATCCGCTCTGAAGAAAACAAGTGTAAACTGAAAGGTTCGTGACTTAATTAAGACATATGTATCGAACGTTAAAATATTGAACATTGAATAGTAAATTCACAGTATTTTCTAGTTAGAAAGAATTATTTAAATACATATGCAGAAAGAAAATATAATAAAAATTATATTACGACTGCTAATACTATTATTACTATTACTACTACTACTAATAATAATAATCATTACTATTATTATTATCATTATGAAACAAATGGATGTATACACATTTCTTAAAATCATTTTATTGTAGAAAAGAATAGTGTTTTTATATAAATAATAAATATACATAATTAACCATTAGCAATAGCAACCGGTTGACCATTGATTGTTTTCATTTTTAATATACCATTTTCTTCAACTTCAATTGTTTCTATACCATCTTGTACTATTTTACGTGTTGTTACACATTTACCATTTTCAATTTTAGTTGAAGTTGATCGAAATGTTTCTTTTCTTATTGGTGGATGACCAGGACGACTAGAACTACCAAAATTAAAACTATATGATGTTTTTGTAGATAAACTACGTACTGGTACAGTTTGTGGTAAACTAGTTTTACGTACACGTTCAACATGATGAAACCGTGGTTGATGTTCATTAGTTGATTTACAACTAGTTGTATGATGTAAATGACGACTAGGTAATACATTGAAATGATGATCATTATTAAATATATCATGTAAATGACTATGTGATCTAAATAGACCAGCTGTATCCATAAATGCATTCATCATATCCATATGTTTACTGAAAAATTCACGGAATACTTCTTCAGGATCTCGAAATGTAAAACCGAAATCATTAAATGGAAAGAAGTCACTTGAATCAAATATATCATCTGTCAAAAATGTTCCTGATGCTGTATGTCGACGTCGTCCACTAGGTGGTCTTGTTGATTTAGATGTTTTAACATGTGTACGATTTAAACCATCTCTACCATGACAATCATAGACAGAACGTTTTTGTGGATCAGATAAAACTTCATAAGCTGCACTTATTTCTTTAAATTTTTTTTCTGCTTCTTCTAAATTTGTTGGATTTTTATCTGGATGCCATTTAAGTGCTAAACGACGATATGCACGACGTACTTCTTCATCTGTAGCTGTTTTAGTTAAACCTAACACTTTATAATAACAAATTGAAGTCATAATTATAAAACAACTAAATATCTATCTGTTATGTATTATCAATGGAAGTTCTATTCCTATAAATATGTTAATGATAATTGTAATTGGATATTCTAAAATAAAGAAGAATAAAAAATTTTAAAAAAAAATAGACTGTATAGATTTTAATAATGACTATAATAAATTCATCTAGTATTGTTTGTTTGAATCTTCCCATTGATTACTAGGAATGCAACTGGCCAGTCTGTAATTGGCATATATGCATACTGTGCGTATTGCCTCGATATAGCCTTAATTCACAAGCATAGTAAGCAAAGATGGATAGTGGCTAGCAGTGGAATTCAGGACACGCATTTGAAGCGAAAAGTACTGGATTCGAGTCCCAGAGTGAACATCAACACTGAGATGCAGGTACATTCATCTGACGAGTCCCAAATAGGACGAAACGCGCGTCCTGGATTCCACTGCTAGCCACCATCCGTCTTTGCTTACAATGACTATAATAGATAATTGCTTTTCAAAGTAATTAAGATAATTCATAAATTAAATAGGAAGAATATATTTTTGTAAAATCTCAGCGAATGAATTAGGAGTAAACTCAACGTTTCGCTTGACAAAATATTTTTCCTTGGAAAAGCTTGGACCAGATTGTCAGGCGAAACGTTAGTATTACTTCAAATTCATTCGCTGGGATTTTACAGAAATGTATTATTCCTATTTAACGTCTGACATCATCTCGGCGCTCAAATACTGTAAAACTATTCGCTTTAGCTTAGACGAAAATTGTTATATAATTCATGAATATATATACTATTTTGAACGCAGTAATATGTTTATGCAATAAATTAAAATTTATTATTATCAGAAGGGGTTTTGTAGAGATTTCAGTATTTTCATAATTGAAATCATGAGCCAATTGAAGCTGGACTACCATGCAAAACCTGGAAGCACTGGACGGCCGTTTTGTCTTATTGTGGAACTCCTCAGCAGTGCTTATCCACAATCCCGCCTCGCGAGATTCAAACCCAGGACCCATCTCCTCACAAATTATCCACCTCTATAAACAATGAAATTTTTTTATTCACTACTCATTTATCATTTTTTTATTGCATTTTTTTATAAACTGCATAAAAAATTATATGTGTAAATTAAAGGAATACACTACTGAAATATTGATAGATTTTTTTAGTATTCGATTAACTTATGTCTAAACAATCAGTACTGTACTACTAATGATAGATTAGTTACACATTCTTGAAAAATAATACTTTATCTATTAAGAATACATGATATACCTGATAGAATATATCAAATAAATTATCTCACATGACATTAAAGACAATCGGGAATTCCGAAATACATTGTGAATATATCAAAATTAATGATACTAAGATTAAGATTTAAAACATTAGTCTCTATGTGTATCTTGGTAGGTACATGAAAATATTCATCAAATTCAAAGGAATACCAAATAGAGTAGAAGACGGAATAACAGTGAAATCATGAAATTTTTTTACTATCTTTTACACAGTATGGAAAAATCATAAAACCAAACAAGCAAACAACAACATATGGAAGTGTTAAAACACAGTAAAAAATCATGATTCAATAAATAAATGTCTAATACATGGTGTATAACTACTTTTGAACAAATTAACAGAGTAGCAAATAGGTATGTTAAATCAACGAATAAGTCAACAGTTTATAAATTTTTTGTATTACTGACATTATTAATTAATAGTTTTTTTATAGTTTAAATTATGAACTATTCATAGTCAGGAAATCATTGGAAACCAGGGAACATTGATGTTTCGTTCTAGTATGAAACTTCTCACTAGTGCACAACCACTTACTCACTATGGGATGGAACATAAAACCTATAAGCCTCGTCGCACAAGCCTAACCTTTATATTGTTGAACCAGCTTTCAATTATTTACTTGTAAAATTTCAGTCAAGTTCAGTGTTTTCTACTTTTCAGTGGTTGTCGAACTAATATCAGTCCGTAACATAAGCTATGACAATTGAACTACCTCAACACAAATTCCCAATTCAAGATTATTTTATCAATCAAATTTGAATATTATTTCCTCACATAAAATCTTTCATTTTTAATGCAATTAACAAATTTCTAATTTCTCATGATCAAAGTGGTGTAGGCTACTTATGCTGACAGATATAAGTAGTATGTAACACCAATCAGTAATCAAGTGCCTCTCAGTAGAACAACATTGAGAGAATTGAAATGAATAGAACAGAAAGGCAAACAAACAGCAATTGGGATGACAACCGAATCTGAATAATGAAAAATTATATACATGAGGATTGAAGGAAGACGCGCAAATAATGTATTTAATGAATGGTTTTTAAATTTAAGAAAGTACTGTGTAATTTTGTATGAGATAATAAATTAGTTTTCCCTACCTGAGTGTTCGTTCACTAAAGCTTATTTCCATCCTCCTGTTTTTTAATCAGTTGTTCTGTCTTAAAAGTCGTTAGTAGTGTATCACTTACAAGTGAAAGCTATTTAGTCTGATTCGTATTTGCACAATAAGATATTATCCATTCCTTAGTTGATGATCGATCAGATTTAGGGGAGATAATGAAATCGTTGGTAAATTGATTATTGATGGAAGTCAGAAATGGTCACGACTAACTATTAAGATGTAGATGGTTGATGAAATAGACTTTTAAATAAAAACTCATGTAGTATCTAAATAACTTTTTTCTCAATCAATTTTAACCACTATTGAACACATTGAATGTAAATTTATGTATTCAATTGATCTGTCAAACAATGACTGTTCATAAGTATATATTTATATAAATATGCAGACGTATATCGATCTGATCAAGTTTAATGTTCTAACCATTTTGTTTTCATTTCTCATTTCACATCATAAAATAAAGAAATAAAAATTCACTGCCTATACTTAATTATTATATTTGAAAATTGATTTGCATAATTCTATTCTAGAAAAATCTCAGTTCAATATCACTATTGATCATTTATGTTACCCTGTATATTATAGAGCAATATATCTATGAAATGATATTTTATGAAAATTTGGAATATTAGCTTTAACAGAAAGGTAATTTTCAATAGATCAAGATTATAATGTATTAAGTGTATACAAGTATTGTGATACAAATTAAAAAGTGATGTAATCTAGATGTTCTTTAAAAGGATTCATTTGTCAGACAATGCGATGTAGTATAATCTTGAAACAAAATTAATGTCAAAATGATAAAATATAATCAATATAAAATCTTTAATAAAACATGATAATATATGAATTCACTTGATATTATTTACTTGTATTTTCCAATGGTTGTTTAGATCTGTAATTGATCAGTCTCTTGTTGGCATATATACATCCTGTATGAAGTATCTCGATATCACATATATATATATATATAACAAAGTCAAGGTCATATACTTTAAAGTATTCTTAGTCTAAACTTAAGCAGTCTGTTTACAATTAAGGATATTATCACTTATTCTTCATCTTTAATCCTTTAATTCAATGATATTAGTGTAATACATTATGCTGATTTATAGATGATTAGTTACCACTTTTTTTTAAAAATATACCAATGATTAGACTTTATAATAAATTAACTGAAATCAGAAAATAGTATAATTGTAGTACATTTTAGTGATATACAGTGAATGTATGTAAATCTTGATTCTCAGGAAATCTCAAACTAACATGAAATGACTATTCAGTTTATCAGAAGGAGGTTTGGTGGAGAGTTTTAGTAATTTTTTATAAAGTTGAAATCATGAGTCAATTGAAAGTAGACCAACATGAAAACCTGGAAGCACTGGATGGCCGTTTCGTCCTATTGTGGAACTCCTCAGCAGTGCGCTGAGGATTTTTATTGATTATTCAATAGCTATCAAATTATAATGCAACATATCTTCAAGATTTATTATAGAATTGTTCACAAGATATACCTTCTCATTTAACAATATAATTAAGTTGAGTAATTACACTTGAAGATATTGATTATTTCGGCAATTTATGATTCAGACTGAATGAATTAATAAAAAAAGTAAGTAGCAAAGTACAAATTATTTTTCCGAACATAATGTCACAATCATTTAATGTATGCATACATATACTACTTATATAAATAAATGTGTATGTGTGTGTAAGGGAATGATCATTAGGGTATAAAAATATTTCAAAAATTCACATTGGATAATAATATGTGATGGTTAGAAATCAATAATAATTTGTATTTACAAAAGTAAGTACATTTTGAACAATTGATGTATAAAAATCAATATTTATATAAACACAAACATTTACAAAGATGGATAGTAGCTAGCAGTGGAATTCAGGACGCGCTTTTCGTCCTATTTAAGACTCGTCAGCTGGATGTACCTGCTTTTCCAGAGTTGATGTTTGCTCTGGGACTCAAACCCAGTACCTTTCGCTTAAAACGCCATCACGTTATCCACTCAGCCACTGAATCCTGATAGCCATTTGCTTGTGCAATGTGGTGAAGTTGAAATTTACCTAGTATTGTTTGTTTGGATCTTCCCATTGATGTTTTTAGGACTGCAACTGGTCAGTCTCTAATTGGCATATGTGCATACTGTGCGTATTGCCAATTAGAGACTGACCAGTTGCTGTCCTAAAAACATCAATGGGAAGATCCAAACAAACAATACTAAGTAAATTACAAACATTTACGTGTTGACATAAAACGCAACCATCAATTGTATAAACATTACGTAATTAATAAAGAACTAGTGAGGTTATAGTCGGACAGATAGAATGATAAAAAGACATGAATAGTTCATCAAATTGATAAGTAAATACCATAAACAATTATTGAATTATTATCAGAAAGAGCTTTTGTGGATATTATAGTAATTTAATAGTTGAATTCATGAGTCAATTAAATCTAGACCAACGATCTTGAAGCACTGTATAGCCTTGGTTTGAGTCCCTCATATGGGATCGTAGAAGCGCACTGCCGAGGAGTCCCATACTAGGACAAAATGTTT